GGGCAGTTTGCTCATTTTAATCCCCTGAACGCACTGACACTATTTATTTTCTGTTTTAGGTTATACAGAAAAAGTTGGACAATTTTGCCCCCGATGGATCGACGGTTGAATCTGCATATATCTACTGAATTACTTTAGGCCAAGATTGCGGTCCTAAAGCAGTAGATTCGCATCTCTCTCGATTATACGGATTCAGACATGTCCGCTCTGGTAAATTGGCATAACCCGTTAATTTTTCAGCATTAGCGCGTCACCGTGTGGGGTGACAATAGGTTGGGGGTTGTCATTGCTTGGCAATCATTGCTTGTGCTAGAATTAGGGTTATGTGCTCTTGATTGATCCTTTTGATTGAGTATTTGTTTTTTGGGTTTAAAATCAGTTTTGTAATTCTTAGTGATCAAAATTACTGTGGGACTAGTTATCTGCTAGACGTATTTTTTGCTGCACTGTTATTTCCATTGCTTACTTATTTCGTTAGAAATACCGTGACTTTACCCTTTCGAACATTCCCTTGATCTAAGACCGCGAGTCTTACAAAACCCTGGGAATCTAGAACGGTGTATATTGTCTGTGACCCCTAGGACTACTTTGTGTGGTTTAATTGTGGTTTGTGCATTTTTTGACTATTGTGTGAAGATGACAACTCACAGTTTTGATTTGGGGATTTTTAATGGAAAGGGTGACTTTACTATTTGGCAACAAAAAATGAAGGGTATTTTAGTCCAACAAAAGGTTTCAAAAGTCATTGAAGGCAATTTTTCAATTGATTTTTCACAAGAACAAAGAGAAGAAGCCGATGAGCTTGCTTATACCTCAATTATCTTACACTTGTCTGACGCCGTTTTAAGAAAGGTGGGAAAATTAAAAAACACTAAAGAACTTTGGAAGAAATTAGAAAACTTGTATTTGCTTAAGTCTACACCTAATAAACTTTACCTGCTTAAACCTTTTTTTAGTTTCAAAATGGATCCCTCAAAGGATCTTGATGACAATCTGGACGTGTTTAACAAATTGGTGCAAGACATAGTTAATTGTGATGAGACTATGTCCGAAACTTATAAGGCTATAATTTTGCTCAATGCAATCCCTGATTCCTATAAGGAAGTTAAGAACGCCATTAAGTATGGTAGAGACACGTTAACACCTGAAATTGCCATAGATTCCTTTAGAAGTAAAGAAATGGAAATTAGGGTTGAAAAACATGATAAGAAGAATGGTGAGGTACATATGATGCGGAGTAGAACTCAATTTAGGCAAAATAGTCATGAGGGATATCAAACTAGTGGCGAGTTAAGTGGTAGTGGATGAAAAAAGAAGAGCAAAGGTAGGTCTAGATCAAAATA